TTTTCTATTAAAGGCCTATATCTACAGATGTATATTCCATTTGGTTGTAACTTGATATTTGCGTATAATGTGCTGCGTTTATAGGTGACATTTGTAGTGATGTCACTAATTGTTCATCACATGCACAGAGTATTTCAAATATCTGAAACATCTTGTGTTTGTCCAGAAACACATTTCTAGTTGGAATTGTATTTGTAATGATAGTTGGTCTAGCGCCCTCTATTGACCAGTCTAAATGTCTTGCATTAATGGCCGCTAATAAAGTAACCCAGATCAACGTTACCTGAGAACATAATTGCCTAGAATCAAGCATCATCCTTTAAATAGCATCAAGCATTTACATGGTGTCAGATAGGTTACGTCCTGCTCCCCCACTGTACACGTGATTTTGGACACGGTTTCAACAAACTTTCGGCGACTTTCTGAACTTCGATTCCATCTTTCATCTAATTCAACGGGGAACGTACGCACGCACACGAACACTTCGATTCGCGAGTGGACTATACGACTGTATGTACATTATAAGATTTGAGGCTTTGCATGGTGGGGTATCGGTATCGTTTCGGTTTGCGGTAACACCATGTGGTAATAACTAGTGCTTAGAAGATATTAGTTCTGAGAAGAACTTGTCCTGCTAATTATCAACTTGCTAAGTAGTTTTTGTTCTGTTTAGAACAGTCCTGCTGTAAGTTCTGAAAGAACTTGTCTTTGGTCTCAACGTTTCGACTAGCCTGCTCTAGTCATCATCAGGAGACTGAAGATAGTTGGAGATGCTACTCCTTAAGTAGGATTTGTTAGGATTAGGAGTGCTTGCTGGGCATGCCCTGCTCGCTCGGGTGTGTCAGTTGGTTGTGAGCCATGGGCATTGTGTTGAGGGATGCCCGCTGAGCGTCCTGCTCGCTCGACTGTGTCAGTTGGCTGTGAGCCTTGGGCATTGTGTTGAGGGATGCCCGCTGAGCGTCCTGCTCGCTCAGGTGTGTCAGTACATTGTATGTACATTGTGCTACGGAACGGTTGCATAAAATGAACTTTATGGACGGTCCTTCGTAAATTAAATGGACACTAGATTCTCTGTTATCATTTGTGTAGATCTGAAGTTAGCACTTACATGTACATTATTTTGAGAGATAATTGTACTCAAATATAAAGGGAATGTACAACATTTGCTTTTGCTGCAATTTTCAGAAATAAAAGGATTTGGAGGATTAGTATGTTATAGCCAATATTGTTAAAATGACTTGCTTCACATTTTGGGTTTGGAGATGCTGGAAAATCCAAGAAAACCAACTATGTTCTTGTTGTCTGGTTCCCTGACCCCACTTCAGATGAAACGGAACAATTTATAGACTTTGGGGAATTGTAAGGTCAGAGAATCAGTCTAGCAGGCTTGTACCCCTTCACAGGTTTGTAATCAATTGCAAGGAAAATGCGGAATAACTAAATATGAACAATTAGGAGCAGTTTTTGAAAAAAGCCAGTTTTCTCCAATGCTGGTCGGCTGACCAGCATTGGAAAAATACAAGTTTTCTTGAAAATGTCAGCACACCAGGAGCCACAATTTTACAGGATGCTTTGGACTGTCATTCCCTAACAATCCAGTAAAATATTTCGTGATAATTTGATCATTTCGTTTTTTTATGTTTGCAAATATTGTATCTTCCCTTTAATGGCCATGATCATCTCTTCGAGTTTGAATTAGACTTGCTACTAGTCTTCCAGTGCTATTGTCCATATAGCGTATACTATATAGCATTTGTAGCTTAAAGTGCTGTAGTTGCTATCATGACAACTACGGTGTTAACTCCCACACACATACCACTTCCACCTCCACTGCAGGTGACTAGTGATCTAAAAGCCAACTGGAAAAAGTTTAGGCAGCTGTGAGACAGCTATGAAACTGTAACTAAAATCGTGGACAAACCTGACAGAATTTGGGTTGCCACATGCATCACTGCCATCGGCAGAGATGCCCTGGAAATACACAACAACCTCCCATACAAAACGGAGGAGGACAAACAAAAACTGGAAACAATCTTGAAGCTCTGGGAAGAGCACTGCAAAGGCAAGACAAACATACTCTATGAGAGATACCAGTTTAACAACTGCGTTCAATAAGTTGATGAACGTTTTGACCACTATTTGGTTAGATTGAGGGAGTTAGTCAACTTGTGATTTTGGAAGTCTTTCTGAGGATTTCCTTAGAGATAGAATTGTATGTGGTATAACTGATAACACATTGTGTAAATGCTTGCTGCAAGAATCAGGCCTAAAACTGAATAAATGTGTCACGCATTGTAAAGCAGCAGAGGCAACTATAACACACATGCAAGCCATGAAAATGACTAAAACAGATTAGTCTGTAGAGGTTATTGAGCAACAAAAGCAAAGAACCACTACAAAGAAACAGTTCACAAACCAAAGAGATATTGTGGTAGAAAACATGAGTTAGTAAAAACTTAATGCCCTGCGTATGGAAAGATGTGTACTACCTGTGGAAAAGCGAACCATTTCTCGCAAAAATGCAGGCAACAAGGTGCAAGTTCAAGTCAAAAAAGGGTGCCAAAAAGAGTGCCCAAACATGGAGTGAAAGGAAAGACAAGAGTTCATGCACTAGATGAAGATACTGAAGATTTTGATTCTGATTATGATTTTGAGGTCATGACTGTAGATGTGATAGGGAAAATTGAAACTCGAGAAGACAATGTAAACAAACGGTACCTTTTGAAATAAATCATGGCCACATTTGTAATCAATGGTCACAGACGCAAGTTGATTGTGGTGCAACATGCAATGTGCTACCTACAGATGTACTTACCTGTAGGCACAAAGGTAGATACATCAAAGAAGACACTGTCACTATATAACAATCAAGCAACCATTCCCATCGTTGGCACTTCAACTGTCCTGCTAGTGAACCCTAAAAACATCACAAATACAATGTGGCCTTTGTGATAATTGAGGGCCAGAGCACACCACTGATTGGATCGCGTACTGCACAACGATTGGACTTGATACATGTACAGCATCACAACATCGCAGTGGTTAACGAACCTCGCAGACTTCAAACTCCAATCGCAAAAAACTCAATGAACTCAAAGAACGACGTCAAGAATGCCTATCCGGATGTGTTCCAAGGACTTGGTCACATGCCAGGAACTGTACATCTTGAACTTGACAAATCGGCGACGCCAACTGTAATGCTACCAAGGCGAGTGCCAGTCACACTCAAAGATAACTGAAAAATGAACTTGATTGCATGGAGGAGCGACAAATCATCACCAAGGTTGTTGAACCTACTGACTGGGTATTAAGTTTGGTAACGGTCAGCAAACCAAACGGGAAGATGCGAGTCTGCATCGACCCCAAGCCTCTCAACAATGCTCTCAAACGGGGGCATTACCCACTGCCAGTGATTGACGACATCTTGCCACAGATGTCTCTTTCAACAGAAACTGGACCACAATCTAGAGGGTCTGGTTGGCAGCTACGAGATCGCAGACCACATCTTGATCACTGGACGGGGTGAGACAATTGACGAGGCTAATCGCGATCACGATAGAAACCTGCATCAACTCCTACAGCGGTACAGAGAGTGACACATCAAACTGAACTTTGACAAGCTCGAGTACAAGAGCTCGGAAGTGACGTACATGGGACATGTACTGTCTAGCGAGGGGCTCAAGGCGGACCCAAACAAAGTAGCCGCCATAAAGGACATGCCAAAACCTCAAGATGTGGCAGGAGTACAACGTTTTGTCGGCATGACAAAATACCTCGCAAAATTCCTGCCCCACCTGTCAGACATCAGTGAGCATCTACGCAAGCTTACTCACAAAGACACTGCCTGGAACTGGACAGAGGAACATGACCAGGCATTCACAGCCATCAAACAATGTGTATCTGAATCCCCTGTGCTCAGATACTTTGACCCCAAACTTCCTACTGAGGGTCAAGGAGAGGCATCCTGCAAGGGCTTAGGATTCGCTCTGCTACAGGACGAACAGCCAATCACATACGCGAGCCGTGCACTTACCTCAGCAGAGACACGCTACTCGCAAATTGAAAAGGAGCTGCTAGCTCTTGTGTTTGGAATGGAGCGCAACCACCACTATGTCTACGGTCGCAAAATTACACTGTGGACCATGGGCGTCGCCAGGATTTTTTCTAGAGGGGGGCAAAAAAAAAATTTGCCAAAACATGCTTGTATTTCTCAACACATTCTCGATTTATCAGTTTTAGAGGGGGGCAGGGACATTTTGCCCCCCCCCCCAACTCATAAAATTTACACCACTTTGTCTTCGCGCCTCCGTTTCTTTTCTTTTTTTTTCCTTTTTTATTCTTCCTTTCTTTTTTTTTTTTTTTTGCTTTTCCAGGGGGGGGGGCAAGTGCCCCCCCTTGCCCCCCCCCTCGCGACGCCCATGCTGTGGACAGACCACAAACCACTGGTTGCTATCAGACTCAAACCTCTCAATGCAGCCCCAAAAAAGCTGCAGCGTCTTCTCACCTGCTTGAACCAGTATGATGTGGAAATCAAGTGCAAGCCAGGGCCAGAAATGTACTTGGCTGACACACTGTCTTGAGCATACCTCCCACAAATGGACAGATCACCCAGATTGCCGTGGAAAGTATCAACATGGCAAACTTCCTACCAGTCTCCAAACAACGACTTGCTGAAATCAAACAAGCCACAGCAAGTGACTCAACGCTACAGCTGGTCATACAAAAAATCGGGTGGGCCAGACCCAGTGCACGAATGCCCACCTGAAACACACGCATACTTCACTGTTTGTGATGAACTAACAACTCAGGACGGCATACATGTAGTCTTCAAAGGCTATCGCTGTGTCGTACCCAAGAAACTGAGAGCAGACATACGACAACACCTTCATGCTTCTCACACCAGCTTACAGAGCACTCTCAGACGGGCCAGAGAATGTGTATATTGGCCTGGAATGAGCAGTGACCTGAAAGACTTTGTTTCCAAGTGTTAAACATTCAACATGTACCAGTCCAGCCAACCTAAAGAGCCACTGATCAGCCACGGAATTCCTCAAAGACCATGGGGAAAAATTGGCTGTGACCTCTTCACACTGGGAAACCACGACTACTTATGCACAGTTGACTACTACTCAGACTATTTCGAGATCGACCCACTCCCCGGTAGTAAAGACGGTACTACCATCATCAAGAAACTGAAAAAACACTACTCCAACCATGGCATACCAGACACCCTGCAGTCAGACAACGGACCTCCCTTCAACTCGCGACAGTTCGAGAACTTTGCCACGCAATACGGATTTGACCACACTACCAGTTCTCCTGAATACCCGCAAAGCAACGGAAAAGTCAAGAACACTGTCAAGATTGCCAAGCTTCTGATCAACAAGACCCAACACACCCTAGGTGACTTTTACTTAAACCTACTCAACTGGCGCAACACACCAACCGAGGGACTAAACAGTTCACCCGCACAGCAATTCCTTGGCCGGCGCACTAAGACTGACATCTCTGTAGCCAGCAAACTACTGCAACCAAAAATCATACGGGATGTTGCCTTCAAGAAAACCAAGAAACAGGCGAAGCAGTCATTCTACTACAACCGAAATGCCGCACCACTCCCTCCTCTGAGTGAAGGAGAAACGGTGCAATTTCAACAAAAACGCAACAGCAAAGTGTGGCAGAAAGTACAAGTCCAGAAACAAGTTGGCATGCGGTCATATCAGATCATCACTGAAGATGGTTGCGAGTATCGACGCAACTGACAACATCTGAGAAAGAGTGCGGAAACATTCACCCAAATTCCGCAAATTGTAACACTGCCCGCACAAGACCTGCCAGCTACTCCACAAACTAGCACGACTGAGTCAACACTCCAGCGTAAAGATCCACAACACCAGATCCCTTCACAGGCCTCTGATAACAACGCCCAAGCTGCCAGTTAACACAGAACCAACCATCTTGAGAAGAAGCAACAGAATCCGTGCAACCCCAAAATATCTGGAACAGTACATCACAAAATAAGAACTCATGGACACTGGACTCTTGAAAGAAAAGACACAGTACAAAGAGATTGTTATTGTTCATCATAACAGTTGTTTATTGTTGTAGTTGTAGTTTAACTTTGTTAGTTAATGGTAACTCTAAGGCCCAAAAAAAAAAGTCTCCGGTTTCTGGTATGCGCGCGCGTCGCCGTAGCCATGCGCGTCGGCAAAATGAAAAAGTTTTTTTTTCAATGAAAGATGATGTCTCAAAACCGCCAAACTCACTGGTTTGACTGGAATCCTGCTGCTGCACAATTTTAACGTGTTTTTAGATGGGGTTATGATCGAGAATAAGCTTTATGTGGCCTCTCTGGACTCCCATATATTTTCACTAAGTTTAGTCGGGCACCATTTGCAGTCATCAGCTGACATTTGAAGCAAAAAAGTCAGGTAAAAAAAAAAAAAAAACTGCGTCGCCGCACCACTTTTTGGGCAAGCTCCATACCAGAAACCGGAGACTTTTTTGGGGGGGCCTAAAGTGTACTGATCCACAGTTTTAAAAAAAGTTGTTAAAGAACTGTTATTTTTCATGAAAGGAAAGGTGTAACGATAGTTGGTCTAGCGCCCTCTATCGACCAGTCTAAATGTCTTGCATTAATGGCCGCTAATAAAGTAACCCAGATCAACGTTACCTGAGAACATAATTGCCTATAATCAAGCATCATCCTTCAAATAGCATCAAGCATTTACAGTATTTAATCCAGTTTGTTTTCTTACATCAAAATAACAGTATGTAGCACAGTAACAGATATAAGACGAGCGATCTATGTCTGTTTGCATTATGCTCTCTTTTTTTTATCAATAACATGTCCCAGACAATGCATGTACAATGTTTCAAAGTATACGGTACAAGAATTTTCTTATATATGTAGCGTTGGATATATATTATCGTCTAAAAGAAATTAATCCATATTAAATCAGAGGTATCGGACTACCTTCATATGCAATTTTGACCCATTCAGACTGATAGTTTTCTCAATATGAGACTTAAAAATGCACGTTTATGATGGCGTAACATGCCTTACGATGACGTCATCTTGATAAAACTTTTCAATGCACATTTTTGCATTGAAGTCAATCCAATGAAAGGAAGTGTTACATTTTGGAAGCGGAATTAAATTGTAAATATTAAAAAAATTATGCGATGACATCATGGTGACGTCATTTTGGATTATGCATACTAGTACCATTATCTAGCTATCCACCAAGTTTTATGACAATAGGACTTTCCCTTATATGTGTTTTCAAAAATTGCATTTTTGATGAAGTCATCATGACGTCACACGTTTTTCAAAATTTTATGCAAACGCCTATTACCCAACAAACAAAATACTAAAAGAATTTTGAATTTGCATGCTGCATTCGTGAGATATGGCTTAAAGGTCCAAAAATCAAAAATTCATGTAAAATCACACGATGACGTCATGATGACATCACCTCAATTTTGACCTATAACACATGCTGGTCTACTCACATACCAAGTTTCAATCCAATCGGACCTTTGGTTCTCTAGATATAAGACTTTACAATATGCACTTTTGGGATGACGTCACATAACCCATGATGACGTCATCATGACGTCACCTCAATTTTCATCTATAACACATCCCGGTCTACCTACATACCAAGTTTCAACCCAATCGGACTGACAGTTCTGTAGATATAGGACTTTGTAATATGCACATGAATAATGACGTCACGTGACCCATGATGCGTCACCATGACGTCACTCTTTGGGACACAACTTTGCTATAGGGGCTATGCCTGTGGTAACTTTGAATGATGTATGAGGGGGAGGGGGGCCCCTCAAAATTTGTGAAGCGTTGGCGCTTGTGAAGTGGATCTATTAAAAAAAATTTTGCTAATGTCCCCGGGGGTGGGAGAAATCCCCCCCACCCACCCCAGCTGGATACGCAACTGATTATTTTGGGGGCTATGGTTACAAAAAAAATCACAAGATTTGAATTGATTTCGAGTGAAATTCGGTGCAAGTTGACTCATGGATGGGTGCCCGTGAATTTAACGATCACCCCGCCATTGACGTTAATCAGTTACGATATGTGATGATTTTTTTGCCGTAGGGTACGAAAATGTAGATGTTTAAAAAAAAAAATTAGGAACAGAAACAGACATTACATGTAGATTTGATATATTTACTGCTAAGAACAAGTTTTTTGGGGGGCTGCCGTGATTTTGGAGTACAATACTCACCAATCCAAAATGAAAGCGGCCCAAAAATTCACCAGCGCCGTGCCCTACAGCAACCGGGTCGTAGACCCGTACACGCCATGCTCCAGGGCCGCGTAGAAACACTCGACGCACGTGATTGACCGGGTACCCCGGACGGCTCATACAATTAACTTGATACGTGCAAAGTGGTTTAAGACCCAGACATTTCACCCCAATTTTTGTTCCCAGTTTTTGTTAGTGCTTTTACCTGACATGTCTAAAGATATAATTCAAATCACCAAAAAGTTATTTTGAGGTGTAATTCACTTTGAAATTTCCATTTTATTACCATGCCTCTTTATTCAATAATGGCGGTTTATAATTTGGCTTCATGAGATTTAAGAAGTTGCTGTGTCCAGGGCCTTAACTTGTTGTTTTCTGTAACCCATTTTTTTCTGAAGCCACTTTATTAGTCTTTTGTTTGATATATAATTTATATTGATAGCTATAGCAAGAGGCCAGTAAAATGAGGGTAGACATAAAGAGTAAATCGCTATTTTAAAAAAAATATGTACAAAACCAAAACTTGACACATTTTTGCAATCGGCCACCAACGGCCAGGGTATTTTGCACTTTTTTCTTCATAAATCGTTAGACCAACTATCTGGCTGTGAAAATAAAATAGTGCAAAAAACCCGCAAAATCGCCTTCATTCCGAAAAATCGATCATTTGCCGGCCCAGTGATCAGAATACAGCGGCCGAGCAAGAAAAACAGCGCCCTCTGTTGACAAGCCATGAAGAGGGGAATTCCCTTTCTGATCCAATTGCACTGAAGTGAGCGCGCCTCACGTATTGGTCATGTACATGCCGCAGGTACATCGATGTTACATTTTACTGAGTGTCCTTGGCATAAAATAAAGGTGAAAATTTCGCACATGCAGGTTCTTTGTAGGCTTTTGATGTCATGTAGAGCAGCTAATGTATGAAACTGTATAGTAAAGTTTTATAAAGAAAATATTATTTTCGTAACCTACCAGTATTTGCACGTGCCAGACATTAACTTTTATTCGAAATGTCATGTGTTTAAGTACCACTTTGGAGTATAATTGTAGCACAGTTTATTTATAAATAGGTTCTTTCTATTTCATTATAAAGTGGGGGAAAGCATTCATCACAATTCTGTATGACTTTCACTTACAGCAAAACCTGGTTTGCCTATTAACTGTAAAGCCTTTCGTCGCAATTTAGAGGGATCTCAAAGTAAAACGTGGGCACCGATCTACTACTAGATTCACATATGTTGCCCATTGATATCCTGGACCTCAATGCACCGAGAAAATTCTACATCGAATCAACAGTGAATGGAAACAAATTTACAAAACGCGGCCCAGTGACAAACAAAAAAGTGTGACTTGATGAGTTTCTTGGTCGGTCAGACCAGGCAGATTTCGCGATCGCATGATGAGCAAGGAACACCTTACACCGTGAAACGGAAAACTTTTATAAAACCTTCCTTAGCCCAACATAAACTTTACTCACTACATAATAGAGTAAGTTACAAAGTACTTCTCATTATTATTATTATTTTTTTTTTGATAAAGAAATACTAGAATTAACATTTTGATGATTATCCATGATCGCCCTCTTTTCCTCAAAACCAAACAACCGAGAAAATTAAAAATCATCTGAATAAAACGTACACTTCACCTGTGTCTCCCACATCATTATTTTTTCCCCCCAAATTTCAAAGGGAAAAGATTACAAATTACTCTGCATTCCTTCGGAAATGGACATTCTCCAGTAAATTGATAAGTCCCATTTGTGTAGATTGAATAAAAACATGGGTAAGTCTTATTTTTAATTTCACAAAACAGTGCAATGAACGTACGTTGTCCCAGATCCGCGATGTTTCTCCCTTAAAAATTGTTGTCACACTGTACATTATTGGTTAAAAGAGGGCGCAACTCACCAACGGCGAGTAAAACGCACGAATAGCAAAATCTACATCGTTTTGACAAAATGCACGTGCCGAGGATCGTGCAGCATATTCTACATGGTGATCGATTGCATTTAAATTCGTTTTCAATAATATTTTTGACGATGATTCAAGAAAATCGATGATGTCTGGGTCATGCATGGTTTTAAACCACTGTGACGTGTACGGGTCATCGCTGTTTTCAGGGCGACATTAGATTTGTGCGCATGTCCGTGCTTTAGCTCGTATAAAATGCCCTCTAGGGACCGAATTGTATCCAGTCTCGTTTTGCCTAAAAACAGCTCACCGGAGGACGTCTTTTCAATCACCTTTTTATATTACAAATAAGTTTTTGATATTCGAGATATAACAATAAATCGACAGAAAAAGGACTTTACTTTTTTTATCAGATATGACTGTGAACTTTTCGGACGGGACCACACACCATTTTTCAAAGTGCATGTAAAAGAGGTATATCGGACAAGAAATAAATGAGACTGGGGACCGTGACACTGCGAGTGTAACTGCAACACAGCCCAGATTTCTGCGAGTCCCATTTACGTCACGATTTTTCTG